CAATGCAATTTCATCTTTAAAATATTTCTTGACTAAAATATTTATCTTGTATATCTTTCATTACGATAAAAATTTTCAATTTCATTATATTTTCCAGTAACCATTTGAAATAAATAGCAGAATCAATATATAAGTTAAAAATAAAAACTAGTAGGTACGCTTTCATAGAGAACATTTTCGATTAATAATTGGCAGTCAGTTATGTGTCAATTCCAGCGAGACATTTCTCGATGTTCTAATTGAAAAGTGAACAGCTCGATACACGTGGAGAAAAGCAGAAACGAGCGACCACCACGAATGCTATATGCCATTTATAACATAGCGATAGAAGACTCAAAAACTTTTGAAAACTATTTGAAATGTTATATTGAAAAACTTTTGTCACAATATAAATTGTTTAAAGAGATTTATTTGATGTCATCGGAACCAATGATATCACTTAACAGGGTGTACTGAGAGTATATACTCGTTTTTTCAATTTTTTCAGAAACTTGAAATGATAAAATATTAGTACGTTTGAAAACATTAAATAACCATTTAAATTAATAAGATGTATTATGGTAAATTTTATATCTAAACATTGGTGTATATATTTAATTTTTTTTTATTCTTTTATAGATTTTTTTAATACAAGTACAAGTTTTCTAAATCGATATTCGATTTCCAATATTAACACCATAATATTAGATACGTAATCCACAACCTGATAGCTAGTCATTGGATTTCTTTCTAAGAGCCATTGTAAACTAATCAATTTAATTAATGTGTTCCGAAAGACAGATGGTCTCAAAAAGTTTTAAAAGGTACTTGAAATGTTAGATTGATATAATATTAATAGTTTACAAATTATTGGTCTATGTCGTCGTTTAGCATATAATTTACTCAATTAGCACTCAATAATTTACAACAGTGGCAATTCAGCAAGATAAACCAAAAAAATTAATTTAAAATAATTATTTATATATTTAATGTCGATTTTGTGATCTTCCTTAGTGGCTGCTTGCGACATAAATAAATTTTTTGTATAAATAAATTATATGTATGAATATATATATATATATATATTTATATATCTATTATTTAATAATAACTACGCCAGCAATAATTATAATTTATGTAGTTGCAAAAAGATGAGAAATATCATTTGAAATTGATTTAAACGAAATGTAGTTTTACTAATATAACAAACAATAGAAAGCTTAATATTTAGTTAACTAGGTATAAAACTAGGTAAACATATTTTTTCTAGCATTCCATTGGGAATCTTATATACCTATATAATATAGAGGAAAGCATTGCTATTTTTAAATATAATATTATCTTTAATATTATTTATAATTAGCCTAATAATTCTCTGCTTTGAAAAATTATAGAAAACATTCTAAACTAAAATTTATTCTCATAAAGCGTGGTACATGTTTTCTTATTATAATCTGACGTGAATTTAATCATTTAAATGACACATACATCAATCTTCAATGGATCATAAATTATAAGATTTATCATAAACTTAAATTTAGAAATCATCAGGCATGTAATTTCAAAAAACGTACCCCAATTGATTCTCTTCAAATAGGTCAGATTTTGTAATAGCAGTAATATTTTATTTACGATTATAAAATAATTAAATATAAAATTTTTTATAGCCTTTCGTGGTTTATTATTTGAAAGTAATGCTTATAAATATTATATTTTTTAAAAACTAATTGCACAATTATCGATAAAATTTTCTGTGACTATAAAATTTATAAATAGGCTGCGCAAGAAAGATTTGACGTAAAACAATTTATATATAAACTGCAACGATATAAAATTTATATCTGATTTATTACTAAAACTCACACAAGAACATGTACCATTCATAAATTCTATATATAGAAATTAGAGAGAGCTTCGCTTCGGTTTCGAGATAAAATTATTGGCGTTGTTTGCGATGCCTGTCATTTCAAAGATTCCACTTTGAAGAAAAAAAGTAACAAGCGCGGGAATACTCGTTTGAAAAATATTATATCGCATCATAGACTATAACAATCACCAATAATGTTGGCTATTGATAGACACTTGCTCATTTTACAATTGTTCTTTATATTTTTTTATCATATGAAATAATATTCACCACCAATCATAAATTATTACAGTAATTATTGATCTGATTAGTTTAGCACAATCCAATTCATTTCTTACTTATTATTAGATCTAAATAATTAAAATAAATTATAAGTATTGGAGTATGGGTACGGTAGTGGCCCAGTCGTCATAACATCCAAAAAATATACTTATTTTAAAATAGGGTCTAATGTTTGTTCAAACAAATTCCATTAGGTAAATTCTCATAATAAAAATCAATAAAATTTAAATGTTTTTAACTATTGGATTGCCTAGATCACACAACTGTTAAAGATCTGATTTCTGTCAAAGAAATAAGAATAAAAAAAAATATATAAAAAATATGAGACATTATAAAGATGACATATATCTTACACTTAGAGAACAAAATACATTTAAATTGCTCTATTTTCACGATTTATTAATATTGGATTTAAGATTAATTTCGCTAAATTTTAAGGTTACTTATTAATGTTTGTTTATATTTTCAGAACAACACATCAAGATGCTTTATTGGAAAATATTTGGAAAAATCAATGTTTAATAACTTAGACAATGTCATTTAGTTATTCAATTTTATCCATTTTTCATATATTTAAAAGAAATGTTAATTAATATTTTTAGAGCCAAGAAAATAAAAATTCATTATATTAAAAACATAAAACTTTTTAGTATGTACCGTAAAATAACGCTTGCTTCCATTATGTACACAAAAAATAAATAAAATACCATTTTATATACTTATTGCAATACCTTTACATCTATTTTACTGTTTAAACACAATTATGCGGGTGCTGTTAAGACACTCAATTTCCATAAATAAAAGATTTAACACCCCTGGTGAACATCTGATGCATAATGAGATGAACTTATAATGAAGACAAAAGCACGTGGTAAAAATGTTGTAGTTTATGATTTATTAAACATTATTTTCAAATAATAAACCGCGAAAGACTATGAAAACTTTTAAATTAAATTATTTTATGATGGCAAATGAAATATTACAGCTATTACAAAAGCTGATCTATTTTATGGGAATAAATTGTGGAACTTTTTATTTTTGATTCATTCTAAAAATAAATTCATGACAAATCTTATAATTGATGATCGAATGAAGATTGATGTATATGTCTACATGATTAAAATCACGCCAGTATGGGACACAACAAATAAGGAACCATGGACCGAATTTTATAAAAACAAATTAGTCAGCATTGTTTTGAATCAAATTAATAATAGATTGTTATTTATAATGTCTCAAAGCAGAGGTCAAGCTATTTGGCAAATAAATTATTTAAGCGATTATATTCAATATATCAAAACAAAACTTCTCTTAAAAATGTGTAAATATTATATAATTTTAAATTAACATAACATTTTTTAGTATATACTCAAAACATCGCATACTTCATTGGCATTATTATAGATGTTACTGACACTCATTTAAAAACAAGGCCGCAATATAATGTTTCTTTCATAATATAAAATATATACAAATATATTATAAATTAAAATTTGATTTTAATAATTTATTAATCATTAATTTTATTTCAAATTACTAATTCTAACGGAGATCATGGTCAGACAATACGGAGCTCTTGAAACAATTTGAACGCATTTGTCATGATCTCTAATATAAGTGTTTGTGATGTGCAAAAGTAAAATCTATAGTCGATCTTTATTAAAGATTGAGAAAATTTAATATTTTGAAATACATTATTTGAAAAATTGATAAATTTATTTTTTACATTAGGAGACTTGAAATGTTTGAAAATATATACTCAAAAGTTTAATGACGCTTAATTGAGAAAAATGAAGTTATGAAAAATGATGCTAACATTAAATTTAAAATAAATTCACTCGTTTTATAATAGCATCATATTTTATCACATACATATGTAAGTGATTCGGTTTATCTAAATAAACAAATTTTGTTAGCGGAGTTATTTAAAATGATAAAATTTGATATTATTTACAAATGTATAATATGATTTCAATTAAAAGCATTTAGATTAGTTAATAATTTTAATTTAAAAAGTACAATTTTACATTTATAAATATTAATTATTTTTACGTTTTTATTAACAATTTTTATATCAATATTAGTATTTTATTTGAATATTTATTATTATAGAGAACATTATTTGAAATAATTTAAATACCGATTTAAGTTTTATTATTCTAATCTTTATTCTTAATATAATAGTGTATTTATTTTCGCAAAAAGTGTATATATATATTATCAGCCGCAGTCTTTAATTTTTATTAAGGATATTTTATCATGAAAAATTTTACTTTTTAAACTACAAAGTTTCATAATTTTAAACAAATGCATACATATATATATATATATATATATATAATATTTATATATCGATTATATACTTTGTAGAATTTGCAATTATGTTTGTGCATTGATATGACACATAATATCTTGCGTCCTCGTCAAATGTATAACTTATTCATTTCAATTGATCATTCAGTATCAATTGATAGATTCAATTGATTTATTTATTTGCCGTTATAAAAGATATATAATTTTAAGCAATTTAAAAATGTGATTCTTCTTACACATGTAATCGGCATGTGCCGATATTCAGTGTGTATAATTATATATGTGTATGTATATATTTAATCATGTGGCAAATCTTACTGGTGTACTTAGTTTATTTCCTACGTAACAAAATAACGTCTGTTTGTTTCTGCTATGTTATGTTTTCTTTCCTAGTTAGCGCTTCTTATAACAACAAGTGTTATTAGAAAATATTATTTCACTTCTTCGCAAACGTTCTTGCGAATATGTAACAAGCTCCTGTTATTCAAACAAATAAAGTTTCCATTTCAAAATAAAATCCAATTTATGCTTATTATTCCTCAATTATTCCAACAATAATATGTTTGCCAGGCGCGGATCTCTACCTACGGTATACAATACTGTTTTCGAGGATGACGAAGAAGGATCGAGCCAGGATTCGCCGGTGGGATCATGTCACGAACCCGGAAAAACATTACCAGGTACGATAAGTGATTCATATCGAAAATACATTAATTCGTCAAGCAATTGCGATAAACAAAGTGCGATTCGCAAAGAAGCGTCTCATCGAAGCTGCAGTCCTTCTGGCGTCAGTAGACCTCAGCATGTGTCAGTGTCAAGTGTGAAGAATAGTGAATATCAGAGTGAAAATATGTATAATCAGAAACCGCAAGTGCGGCTGAGGAAACGGTCGCGAAGCCACGAAGATGTGGTGATCAGTGTCCAACCGACTCCGAAAGTGATTCCGAATAATTGTGGTGTAAAATCTGTTGTTAATGAGAACTTTGTTACGCATAAGTTTAGTCCAACGCAATCGAATTTAGCTAGTTCTACTTCTAATCTGGTGAAGCCCTTGGATAATCCGGAAGTTCCGATGACGAATAGCAGATTGGTTAACAGACGAGCCACATGGTGCATCAAGTAAGTAATAATTATTTTTAAATAAAAAATATATTCTGGAAAAATAAAGATCAACCTCGAACATAATTAGTTTATCAAACAATCATTCTTGCCAACATACATTTTATTTAACTTATTTTAATTAATTTTGTACAACTGAGATTTTACCCTATACTTGCAGTCAATGTTTATGACTCTTCAATGTTTATGACTGAAGGAAATTTAATTCAAAATATAAGACAGTGTTTATTTAATAAAAAAAATATGTCGTTCAAAATAATTTTCTATATTGTTGTATTTTCTAAGTTCAGAATGTGCATTTTATTGGTATCAAGAAAGAAATATTATGTAGCAAATTGCACAATTGAAATTTTATTATTTTTGCTAGATAAAGTAACTATTATTTGAATAATCACTACAAAGCTCTCGCAAACTACAACTGTTACCTAATATAACAATTAAAATTGAAAAATTTGTGGATATGTGAAGTAGGGGCAAAAGTTAATAAAATATTACTGACGCTATCTCTATAATATGATCGAATATAATTATTCAAAAGTGCAGAAAAATATATATTGTTTGAATCATTCTTCTACACTTACTGGTTCTATATGAATATCATTAAAAATTACTATGATATAAAAAAATACCTTCCAAATATCTAGTATATTTTATTAAAATACCATACCCATATATTTTATTCTATTACTTAAAATTAACAAATACTTTATATATTTTACATATTTTAGGCCATAAACTTAATTTTTATTTATAGTGCGGCTGAAACAAATACAGTGGCCATAGATGACAAAATTGAGCAAGCTATGGTATGTGATTTGAGCACTTACATTATTTTTATCAAATGTAACAATTTATAAATCATTTAAAATATTTTGTGAATTGTGTTAAACTCTATGAATATCTACAAGAAAAACAATGCATATTATTATATATGAACTATGAGTTTAAGAAATATTCAAAATCAATAAATTTGTATTGTAATATAGTTAACAATACAGTCAGTATTGTCATTTATGATAACGAAAAATTTTTAGGATCTCGTTAAAAGCCATCTGATATTCGCAGTTCGTGAGGAAGTGAAATTAATGAAAGAGAAAATTTCGCAGCTCGTAAAACGGATTAAACATTTAGAGGTATATTATTGTAATAGATATATTATATACTTGTTTTTACTGCATTCTGATTTGTTTCATCGTAATTAATCTTTGAAATTTTCTTCATAATCTGAACAAAAATTAATTTAAACAAAAATCCTAAAATATTATGGGCGTACGAAATAATGTAATTATACAAAATTATTAAAGTTCGGAGTGATAAACTCTATTTTCAAAATCTGTTTGTGCGCATGTGTGTTTGTCATTTAAATATTTCATTTATGATTTATTATTTATATAATTCCGATAAATTTCACGTTAGTTATTCCGATTATTCCAGCTTATCTCTCAGAACCGAGATAACGTCGTTTATCAATCAAAAATTTGATAATAATGTTTATATTCACGAAAGTGTTAATTATTTGATTATCTTCTGTCTTAGTCTGGTTTACATCAGATTGCTTATATCCAGAACCGTTATTTTATCAATTATTCATAAATTCAACTCCTATGAGATCATATCATAACAAAGATTAGCGAAATTATTGAAGATATATAAAAACAGCGAAAATTATGTTGACGAATGACGATGACGAATTGTAAAAAAAATATTATTGCATTTTTGCCTTAAATAAATTCCATATTTAAATGTCTATCGATTCCACTTCGAGTACTTTCGATGTTAGATAACCTGGTCTTTCTGACTCAGATTCATAACATACGAGTGACGTTGCAGTTTATGTGTAAAATGACTTAATGCAAAGCTAATACATAACATTGTGACAGTATTCAGTATGATTAGCATAATGTATAAAAGTTGGAGCGTAACATGGCCTTGCCATAACATTTGTCTGTTATGCGACAGAATCGGTCCCATAGACAGCAATATGTTTCCAGATGAAAATAGACCTCAACCGGCATTGCTCCATCAATAAATAATCTTTCTATTATAGAAATTGTAATAATAATTCATCATAGAGAGATAGGACTACTGTTTAGATTGCCATATATTGCCTGCTAAACTGAATAGAATAAGTCAAATTAGCATGAGCTTATAGGACGATTAAAATCTGATTGCTGTTCAAAAATTATGAGAAAAAGACTATAGTTGTTTGTTAATATTTTTAAAATTTTAGAATAGTGCTTCTATTGATTTAGCTAAGATCACGTAAATTTTTGAAGAATAAAACCGCACCATAAATAAAAAGATAAATAACGCGGTAATTAAGTTTTCAGCGGTGGTAACCACGAATTAAACAAAACTCAGTTTGTTAGAAAAATGTTATATCATGTTTTTTTGTTTACCGAAAGTTGCTTTATACTTAGGCTGTCTTATGTCTATCAATACCACTACTGTTTCACAAAAATTCGAATGTCAAAAGTCAAATTAAACCAAATGTTTGAATTCTTCTTAAAATATTTTTTTCTATTAATATGTCCTCGATTTCAGATGGAAAACGAAATACTCCGAATATACGCCACTCCTGATACGTTGTCGCTGCTGCCGGACACCAGGATCTCCGGCATGGGAATTACAAACAACTACAGCTCCGGTATTTCCGGTTGGGGAGTTTCGAATGCGTCCAGAGGTAATTCGGAAACTAAAAATACAATCTCGGCATTTACCGATTTAGCGTTATCGAAGACTGGGACGAAAGCAAATTTAGGATTTGCGAGAAACCCAGGAATGAAATTAGTTAACCGAGTCTTAAAGAATGTATACTAAATGTTTTAACCGTTCAGGAAAGTCTATGGAAAGTGCTTGGAATGGAAGGTGAAACACTAAAGAAAAGTCTAAACGTGCAAAACTTATGAGGGCTGAAGTTTTCAGAAGATTGATTCTAATGACGTATCTTCTGAAAGAATATATTATTGCTTGATACCAAAGTACTAACAGTAATTATTTTTAATTTGATGTTGAAATTATATGAGTTTATAAAGTTCTATTTTAATATATGATGAAATGAGAATATATGGTGCTTTAGAAATATATAAAAATTATACTATCAAGCAATTGATATCTAGACAAAGCTTAAAATGGAAAATATAGATTGAACCTGATGTTAATATCAGAATATTTATTCCATAGCTGATTATTATTTATTATGTACTAACAAAATTAATGTGAAAATATATTTTTATATTATGTACTGAATACATTTTATTGATTTCGATTTACATATTATTTATGCTTTATTCAACAATCATTGCTAAATTTATTAATCAATTGTTAAACAAATTACAGAACATCTTATTCGTATTATAGTTATTAGTTCATTTCATGTAGTTTATTTAATATTATACTATAAATCTAAAACTAAATTATTCGGTAAAATTCTTTCAACATTAAAAATAAAGCATTGAATCAGGTTGCTGCTTACTGCCCCGTTTACCCTGTCTATGGGATAAGAAGAGACAGATAACATATTTTAGAAAAATAGTGAAAAAAATATTTTCATAACTCGGAGTTAACTGGAAATTTTACTGAACATAGTTCGATAGTTGTTTGTATAACATATTTTAGAAAAATAGTGAAAAAAATATTTTTAAAACTCGGAGTTAACTGGGAATTTTACTGAACATAGTTCGATAGTTGTTTGTTTAATATGTGTCACGTGTTGTGATGTAGTTCCTTTAGTTTTTTAGACAGTATAATTACTTAAAGACAAATTTGATTTTTTTCGTATTACTCAATTAATATTTAAGATAGATGGGATTTGAGGCATCCAAGAGTATATGTTAGCAATCTGATTTATAAGATTTTTCACTAAATTTTTCCATTTTTATTATTTTTTGGAGAATTTCATTAATTGTATTATAATATTTATTTTAAATATACAGTGATACTCCACATTACGTACTTAATTCGTTCCAGGAGAAAGTTCGTTGTACGAAAAGTTCGCTATGCGAAACGCGTTTTTCCATGCAAATACATGAAAATAAAATTAATTCGTACTGTAGTTTGAAGTGTGGCCATAGAAAATAAGATATTTCACATATAATTAAAACATTTGAAAAAATATTACTGATTTACAATATAATATATTATCAGACTCGTACTGCTTCATTTTAGCTTCTGAATTTTTAAAGAAACTGTCGATAGTTTTTTGTAACAAGTATATCTTCACAGCTGAGCAAAAACTTCCGAAGACTACTCTTTGCATTAATTTGGGCAACATTTGTTTTTTTGACCACAAATGACATCGATTTAGTACGTTTTGTCAATCAAAGTTTGTTGTATGAAACGTTTGAGACCGAAAAAAATGTTCGTTATGCGCATTGTCCATTGTGCGAGGTGTACGTTATGCGGGGTATCACTTACTATAGAAAAAGAAAAATATAACATGACCAGTTGTGTCATAAATTTTTTCACGATTTTTTTCGGTAAATTCGACGTGCTGCAAATTATAGGGAAGGTTCCTAATGGTGTTAGAATGCTGCTATAAAAATATTACGATTGGAGTTGAAATAGTTTTTGAGAAATACGCAAAACAGCAAAATCATCCGAAATTTTATTTGTTGAATATTTGTGATTCGCTTCAGTTTAATTAATCTTATTTACTATAACGGAAAATATAAATTTGCGTGCAACTTGCATTTAATATTAGTTCATGAAACGGAAAGTTCCCAGAATTTGCATAAAGACTTAAAACCATATACACCACTAGTTCAGTGTCAGTAGTCAGTTGTATTTGTCTCAAGTGCTTTAAAGGAAAGTGTTAAGCCTTCTCCTCCCATAGTGCACTCGCAGACGCATCGATGAGATCACGCAAGAGCAAATCCCGTTTTCCCTACTGTATCGCTGGCGGCTTATCTGTTCGCCCCTCTATCTGTGAAACACTGAGGATCAGATTATGTGCATCGAGATAATGGCGTAAATCCACCCCGAATAGACATCGCGATTTTCTTGCTTTATGTTACTGTTTTATATTACAACAGAACGTTCTGAACATCTATTATTTACGAGAACTAGTTATATACTGGAGCCACGTGCAACGAAGATTTAATTGAAATATAATTTTGTAGTATATTATAAGGTAGGGCGGGGCATGAAGGCCCATTTTGACTTTCACTAATTATACTGTAAACCAAATGAACTTAATCACAACACATAACACGTATTAAACAAACAACTATCGATGTTCAATAAAATTTCCAGCTAAATGATTTTTATACAAATATGCTTTCTTTGCTAAATTTCTTTTTTTCATATCTCTTATTAAAACAAAAGTTAAATCTTAATTTTAATTTTCAAAGGTTTTTACAAAATAATAGCTGCATTATACAATCACTGCGACACAATTTTCATAGGCAAATCTTTTACAAATCACTCTATATATAACCTTGATCTGGTATTTCATCAGATATTTTTATCAGCAGAGTTGGAATAACTATTAATATGATTGATCTCATATGAAGTTGCTTTTTAACTTGGTTCACTTTTTTATTATTTATTGTTTATACCTTTGCCAGAGCAAAGATTTAGTTGAGCTTTTTGCTTCAACCACATGTCAGATTTTTATAGATTATATAGATTTAACTGTTGATCTAACTCAAAAACTAGTGGGGCGCATGGCATCGTGCCTTAAGGCAAATTGCTGGAACTTCCCGTACCAAAAATTATTTTTTTAAAAACGATTAACATTTTTGAAAAAAATTTACTTCGAAAAAATTAGATTTATGAGAAACTATAAATTTGACAAAAAATTACTTTCATTTGAAAAAAAAACTTTTCTTTATTTTGACCTATTTTGGAAATTCTGAACTTTTTTTCAATGCAAACTTTAACAGCATAGAGACGAAATGTCAAAGCGCCGTCTAACGTATAAATATTGGTACGGAACCCATAGGAATGAAAACAAAATTTATACTTTTTGTTAAAATCTCTATAAAATATCTGATAATTTAATGTGCACATGTCTAATGATCATTTTAACCGCCAAATGGCATTTTTTTACTTTTTTCATTAGATCTCCGAAGCCGCTAGACCTGCCTTCACATAAATTTGAACAATTCTTCATCTTGTCAATACGAGTAAAATGTTTTTTGAATTATTGAACACACTTTTTGCCCCCTATCTTTGGAACGGCTTGACCTGCCTTCGCCGAAAACTAATCAGCACGTCTCCTTATCAATATGAATCGAATGTTTTTTGAATTATTCAAATCGGTTAATCGGTATTCGCGAAATCGTCGACAAAAATTTGTATTCGCACACTCACACACACACACACATACATCAATTTTTTCTAAGGTATGCCAAAATATTCAGAAACCTCTGAAACGTAAAGATATATAAAAATTTTCATTTTCGATTTTTTTGCGATTACTATAACTTGACCTACGGGAAGTTAATAACTATACATCTTATAAAACTTCAGGTATCAGTGATACTCAGGTATCATGAACTAATTAAAAGAGCTCAAAGCCCAAAAAACTATCAATAATTTTTTTTTATTTTGAATATTGATACATATATTGGTACATACTTTTGATAGCAACTTCGTCAAAATTAAGGTGATGGCAAGTTACACATCGTTTGCCTCTTACTTTTAAATAGCATCGTTGAAAAATTCTATACGTTACTTGTTTTCGAGATAATGGTGGTAAACTTATCTACCCGCGGATCTTTATGTTCGGCACTACCCTACTGTTATAATATTTTTATTTTGTGAAAACCACTAAAACTAAAAATATCGTTAGTAAAGTAAAAGTTTTACCCCACAGTTTTCTTCATTTTTGAAATTTTTATTACATTATGTGGGATATGATACAATTCATATTTAATTTTTATCCCAATTATAAAAGAGAGAAGTGTCGCATATTGCTGTACAACCGTATACATAATTAAATAATAATAATACTACACCTTCAAATTAATTCAATTTAATTAACTTTTTACATAAATCCTTTCTATAATCTTCCTGAAATTCAATTACCTTTTCCGAGGGGCAGTTTGCTACTGGCCACATTAATACTAAAGCATTACACTCTCCCTGGGCGCTTCGAGACAAATCGCGCTCGTCAATGCGATACATTCAGTGCTCTCAAGGGAGCCAATCAAAATAAAAAATAAAAGGTAACAAAGCACCCTTACAAAATAAATGCAGTCGGCCAGACTTTTTGGCTATTGTGCGCTTATGCCCTACGATGCGGTAATATTCATACCAATAAAGACAGCCGCTCGAGCGGCATAAGACGATATGTTATGGGCGATGCAATCATACTTAATAGGCCAAGGGCCGATGAATATTTTAGAGTCGGAGAGTTTGCGAGTTGGAAGTTTGGTGAAACTTTTCTTGGAGAAATTGGAATTAAACATGAGATATGCGTATGTTGACATGAGTGTGATTCAGAAATCGTAATCAAAGCTAACTACTCCGATTTCAAAATACAACATTATAAATTTGATCAAATTAAAAATTTGATGTATAATTTAACTTTAATATTTTACAAATTTAACTGATATAATTCCAATAAATAATAAAAGTAAATAATACAATTGCACGTCGGTACTATAAATATATTACATTTTCATTCACATTCATTTGAATATATAAATTAACTTTACAAAGTATTGTAATTTAAATATATAAAAATAATAATTTTAGCGTATTATCGAATAATATTTTCTTTGTCGAATCAAAAATTTATATATAATAATTATTCTTGCTTACATTTTGAATACAGTAGTTTTGTCATGATTATCTACAGAAAAACTGTGATTTTGCAAAGTACATATTAAAGCTTTAAATAGATGGCGCTATTGTATAGAGAATAACAATAGAATAGAGTAATAAATGTAGAGTGACATGAGTAGTGGATATAGGCATCATATATAGAGACCAAAAGTGTAATTGGGAGTTATAAGTGTCAATAAATAGTTAGAA